TGAAATACATATACAATGCTTATACCCATGTGGATGCAATGCAAAGGTTAAACATTTCAGAGCAACTGAGGCCTGGGCACGTACTTTGACACCTTGCAGCACGTTGCAGGTAACCTAAATTGCATTTATATTCTTACTTTCTTGGTGGAGTAGTACTATAGACAAGAAAATGTTGGCACACTTGCTGAGAGTTGTTCCCTCTGGGGCAGTCATGGGAAGACTGAAGTATTTGCATTGCTTTCCTCGTCTGCCAGGTGTAGCAGCAGAGATAAGCTCCCGTGAAACAGGAACGGCAGTGAGGGTGTTCTGCCTCATGCCAAGCTACCCATGGGCCAAGACTCAAACCCCAGTTATACAACTGCAATCCTCTTGCGTAGCACAGGCTGCACCTTCTAGCTGGTACCTGACAATAGACAGGCTCCCTATCCAAATCTTTATACATCCAGTGCTCCCTAGGTGCAGCAAGTATTGTCCTCCCATCAATGCACCAATTGAACTGAAAACAAAGAACTGCTTCAACTCTGAAACACGAGAAAGGTTCCGTAGGGACTTTCTCCCTCTGAGGAAGTGAAGAGAAGATGGGGCCTCCCAGGGCTCTTTGCTTGCAGGATAGAGGGCCCTGGGGGAACTGCTGGCTCGCTTGCATGCAAAGCAATTGTCATCTGGCTGATTTTTCATTTCAGCTGTGAAACTGCTCCATTGTAAAGCTATTTCATCAAGCAGGAGAAAGCATTCTTCATTTCCCAACAAAAGAAGATCCATTTGTTTCCTTAGGCTCAATTTACTCTTTCACATTTCTGGGCTTTGTTGTATTCTTACCTGACAACCTGAGAGTGCTTTTGATGTGAGTGCTAGCCAAATCTGAGGTGAGACTCGAAAACCTGGGAGAGTACAAAGAGAATCTAACATCACGTGACATTCACCTCCTCTCCTCTCCATAAGGCACGCAGCAGCCCATCTCATTCTGTAGGATGCTGTGATGGACGCTGATCTCCCTTCAAAGCTGCGCTAAGCCAGACACGTTCCAGTACCTTTGATGGAGACTCTCTGGATTTAAGTCAATGCAACTTAGATTAGAATAAGCCTCACCTCCTCATCCGTATGTAATGTATGAATTCCCTCCAGCCACTTTTGAATTTTGTCCTGTTGAGTAGGTTGGCATCTAAGGGAGCCTCTCTAAGCATAATACCAACACCAAAGAGGCAAAAGTTGGATCGCAACAAGAAAGCCAGTAAAGTCTTGGCAAGGATGCTCAGCTAAGAGAACACTTTCTTGGCATGCAAGTCACACACCAAAAGATGTGAAGAGACCCAAGAGATTGTCCTTCTTACATCAATGCCTCATTGAGGCTGAACAAAGCCCACTGACTCATTTCACGCCTTACCCACGTTTGAATCCATCTACTTTTTCCATCTACATTTTGAGACATTGAGGATTGCTTAGAAACTGCCTTACTGTATAACGGGGAATGCCTGGGATTCCAGATCAACTAATACTGGATACAGGACTTGTTTGAAGGTGTTTCCTCAGCCATTATCAACAGACAGTTGTGTGGAACTCAATAACAAGGACAGCTGAGGGCTGTCAGAGGAATTAGCAACTGGTATGAAAAATCACCGAGTCTCTCCCCCACATTATTTAATGTCCAGAAACATTAAATATTAAGCCTTAAAAATTGTGCACTTCTCTTTATCTGGCTAGTTATTCCTTTCCCTTCTTCCTGCCTATTTTGTCCTGCCCTTAGATGAAGGAAAAAATCTCTTCTGGATATAAATGAAATGCCCTTGCCTTTTGCTTGTGTGTGCACCAAGGAAGATACCCACAGATAACACGACACAGCCATTGTAGTAAAATTCAAGGCAGATGTACATCACCACACAAAAGTAGCACGGTCGGCACGCCTCACGGTAGTAGCAGCCAAGCATGCCATGGCAACCAGCCAACTGATGACACTGGCTAGGAGCCAATTTGATTTATTTTTGGCAGCCTGACACTGCACACTACTGTGCCAGTCTTCGATCACAGAAACTATAAGAGGTGACCTTTGAAAGCCAAGGGGATGACTTCTGGGAGAAGGGGGCTGATGAAGCTGAAAGAGGATCTGTCCCCAGGCTGGAGGAATACTGGAGTGGCAGATGTTTGGTAGCCCTCCCTCCTTCATGAATGACCATCGCAGCCATGCCAGCAACCAGCAGTGCTGCGTTTGCTGGGGGATGACGGGGAGAAAGGTCGAGACATGGCAAATGTCTTTAAGGCTATGGAAAGAGTAAGTACCAAGGGAGAAACATAGGGTTTTAAAGAGGCAAGAGGGAGTAATAGGATGAAGATAGGAAAAAGAATACACAGGCTTTCTGTCAGGGAGTATTTTCTGCCTGTGGAAACTTTTATACTGTGATGATGCTCTTTTGTGGAACATTCTTTAAGAAAAAGGCAGCTTCTTACTATTCTGGACATTGTGCTATAGAGTGTATTGCAGAACACAACCCAGCATACTCAGAGAGATGGACAAGAAGGCCTATTTAATCTTTTTTTTTTTTTTGCATTTCTTTCTCAGATGGCTCTGAGCGCACTTACCCAGCTGTTCAAGTTTGTGACTGGAAGGCTGATATCATACTGGAAGAGGAATTTAGAAAAAAAATCTATATTCATTAACATTTTAAAGAGAATATCAGTTTGACTGTGGCCACACACCTTCCATGTTTGCTTTCTGCAAACATTGGTAAGCTTGAGTATTACCATATGCATATTGAATATGTATAAATAGATGCTCATAATGGCCCTGAACACTCAAACAACCACTGAAAACTCATTGTAAAATATATATTTGATTGTAGATTTCCCAACTTATTCTGCTGGCTAGGTATTTACATAAGTAACAGTATCATGTGCAAATGCATGCTAAATCATGCATTTAAATAGCCACTTCAAATGATGTGGCCATGAATGGTTGGCCACTTCAAATTATGTTAAAACCAACAAGAGCATGGGAAAGATATCTGCAAATAATTTAGAAGGTTGCATAGAAATAAACCATTCTTTCATGACTGATGACTCAAAACAGGGAAAATTCAGCAAATGAAATAGCCTTCTACAATAAATGTCCTTCGTCTATCCATTAGAGTAGATTAATCTAAATAAAAATAGAATGTTAATTCAAAGCAGAATCACTATTCCTGTTTAGGAATAAGGCATCCCATGTCTTAAACAAGACTTAATAAGCACTTGTTATCCTGTGTACAGAGGACTCCCATACACTGATTCACTGTGTCCTATTTTTGCCATTGATGTTTATACCTTTGCCCAAGTGTAAAAACAACACAAGTACAGCATGCAACATACCAAATTAGATTTCACAAATCACATGACATTTATTTTGCCACTCAACTCATCACACAAAGTAAGAACAAAAGGCTGGAGACCTGGACAAAAAGCCAACTTGGACAATGCAATTTCAAGGCTTATCTCTAGAATTGTTTAAATGAAAGGTGGTAAAACCAACAATTCTTTGTTGTTGTGTACAGCGAGTTTAGACTCACGCTCTTGAAGGCCACTCCCCTTGTTCATACCTTAAATACTAAATATTCTGCATCTGTTCTTTCCTATATGTCCACTTTGTTGAGCAGAAACAGAGTCGCCTGAAGTCTTGAGTTAGCTATGTAGCTTGAAAGTCTAATCACAGATTGGGAATTGTAATTTGTGGAAGAGAAGTAGTGGACCAAACGAAATGATGGAGAAACATCAGTAAGTGCAAGACTGGATGCTGAGGCTCTATAACATTTACACCAGGCTGTTTATGAGTATTGAGGTGATATGCTACATTTCTGCCCCAACAAGCCAATGAATGCGGAATATCCTGTACATGAATGTCTCATGAGTGTGCAGGCCAGTTATGCTTGGCACTGCCTCTTGATTCAGTTTCATGTGGTGCCTATCTCTGATGTTACCTTTCATTTTTGTTTAGATTCTCTTCCTCTGTTAACGTAAGGAAGGTAAAGAACAAGAGCAAAAGTATCCTCAGGCCTTTGATGCATTTTCTACCCAGCTAAGTATCACAATTCAAAACCTGCTTCTCTTTATGGTTTGTAAACACTATGTCTTTGTCAAAAAGGCTCACTTTTGCCTCTCAAAACTTTTCACCTCTTCCCAGAGGAATCAGTTAAGCAGAGTTGCACTTGGTCAAGAGCAAAGAATTGAAAATACCTCCTAGAGTGACTGTTCGCATTCAACACTGTGTTCTGTCCTCACTCACAGAGCTGTCAGGGCCTTTAATCTGCCCTTTCCCGACCTGATCCTCTCACCATGTGAGTCTGACCCAGCAGACACCTCTAAAAGCAAATATGGCTGTCATGGGCTACTCCAAGTAGAGAGGCGAGAAGTATTGGTGTGGATGAGCCCATAAGCAATGCTGACAACAAGACATTCCTGGCTAATATGTGGTTGTACCAGGAATCTCATCCATTCACAAGCAGATGGAAAAAAGACCCTTTGGGCTCCTTCTTGACCTTCCCACCAGCAGGGTTAAATGGCCTCCTGCAGTATGAGAGCGCTTGTGTCTTGTGAGACTTTCAGCTCAAGCTGGTAGCTCCCAGTGAGCCTGGATCAGCTCTGGCTGTTTGTTGTCCCACTGGAGCTGTCTGTGCTAGTGTGACTGGAAAGTTTCATCGCCCTTTTTAGCTTATGCAGAGCTTGGGGAGCTCTCCCAGGCTCCTCCAAGCCTTCCAGCTGGAGGACACTCTCCTGCCACCATGGAAAAAAGGGCTAGACAGCACCCCCACCTAGAGGAACAGGAGCCTTGAGAGGAGGTGCAGTATTTCCAAAAGCTGCTGGGAAGCTGGGAAGAGGGTGTCAAGCAAGAACATGCAATTCCCTCCCACCTAAAACCCAGAAAGGAGATTCCCTTGTTAATCCTCAGCCTATCCTCCACACGAACCCTTGTTGGCCAACCTCAGATGCATCTCCAAGAGACCAAGGGAGGTATCCATTTCTGGAGAGGCCCATTCCCTAGTGAGGCATTCACTCACCTGTCTTCTCTTCGGTTTGGCTGCTCTCCACTGTCTCCATTTGGGGTTGCGCTGTTGCCTTGGCAGTAGCATCCTCTGCGGCAGGGGTGGTGGTGGCAGTGGTGTCAGCAGCAGGCACGTCGGCTTGTTTAGGCTCCTCTTTGTCTTGGGCTTCGTCAGCCTTCAAGGACGGCGAGTTATCAGTGGAAGCTTTAGTGGCACTTTCCGTTTCGGCGGCGGCAGCAGCGGTCTTTTCCTCCGAGGAGGCAGCAGGAGTGGCAGCCTGTGGGGCTGGCTGCTCTGAGCCCGTGTCAGCGGCTCCATCCCCCTTTTTCTCCTCCGCTGGCACGCTGCTGTCCTTGCTACCCTCCTCCGGCTGGGCACTGTCAGCGGCGGCCGCTTCTGTGGCAGTGGGAGCCTCGCTCTCTTTGTTCTCGGCCGCTCCACCAGCAGGGCCTTCCTCCTTCTTGTCGGTGGCATCAGCCTCAGATGCCGGGGCATCTCCCTTCTTCTCCCCCTTGAGCTTTTTCCTTGTTATGTGTCCGCGGAAGCTGGCCTGGATTTTGGTGGCTGCCTTATGAGCTTTATCTTCTGGTTTGATGCCATCTTGCTCGATCTTTTGGTCCCCATCCTCATTTTTTTCAACCTTTAAAGAACAAGGGCGGAAGAGAAAACAGGGAGGTAAGTTAAGATTTATCCAGGTGCAGCCCAGGCTCTGGTTTTATTGGGAATGTCCGATCTTCCCCTCCTGCTAACCAGTGACAAGTTTCAAATTAGCCTTTCCATTTGGTATGGGTTTGAAGCCAGGTGGCTCTCATTTCATCCTAGGGCTGGACAGACACGGGGGGGTTGTAAAAGTAATTTAAAGCACCTCATCATCTCCCTTAGCAATGCTGAGAGCACCTTGGCTGTGTGGAAAGGCTTGCATCAGATGGGTTGTCTCTATTCCCATGATTTAATTTCCCATCCATTTTGAAATATACCATTTTTTTCCCTTACTGATATTCAAACCACCCTCCTGAGGGGGATTATCACAGTCCTTCCAAATCCACCTTTGCCTTCAAGTCTTTGTTTCTTTTTAATGGCACCTTGTTTCACAGGTGTGTGACTCTAATGACACCAAGCGTTCTGTCCTTTATAGCTTTTTTGGCTCAGGATTGCCAACCGAGACTAGTATTGCTGCCCGCCCCACCGCAGATGCATGCTGTCAGACATGCACAGATAGAGGACATCTCACAAATGCCCTGCCTGCAAGCACAGCACTCCAAGCACTCTGCCTCTGCTCCCCACTTAAGGTTTCAAATGAAGAAATAACAGGCAGATAGATAGGTAGATATCAGTCTTTCCAGTTTCAGTAGATTATTATTATTACTCTGACTATTGAAGAGAATTCATCTTTGCAACAAAGAACAAGGCATTCCCCATGTCTTTTAGTCCTAAGCCATGCATTACAGTCTTAAACTAGACCAAATCAGAGCCTGTGCCTCATGCTGGTCTAGTGCAGACAGATAATGCTCAGCCTAGAACCCCCAGTGAATCTACAGGACATACTATGCCTCACCCCAGTAATTTAGCAGCCCCTGGGCAAGTACCAGCTCAGCTGCATACTGATGAAAGGACGCAGTTCTATTAATATTCCCATTGGGAATAATTCACAAGAGCTACTCGGAAGCAGAGCCACTGGCCTCTTTCCTGTGTGCACCTGGTTTCCAATACTGGCTCAGGTCACCAAAGAAAGAAAATGAGCTGGCTGAGAAAGATAGCAAGCATTTATTCCTGGGTAGAAGAGGAAACCACTCCTCTGGCCCTGGCAGCTGAGAGGTGCCATCCAGGGAAAGAACCAGGACCAGGAGAGCAGAGAGAGGGGAAAGCCTATAAATACATTCACAGAGAGTGCAACAGGGATGAGGGCAAAGAATCCACTGCAGCATGCACACGTGGCACTGGAAACACCATGCCTGTGAAGAGTGGGAGAGAGGACTGGCCACACCAGCAGCTATCACTGGGAAACAGGCTGGAAGTGATCGTTTCCACAGCGTGAGACAGGGTCAGGCACATGTGTGTGAGCCAAGCTGTGCCACTGAACCCAACGCTTGGCCAATGGTACGACAGAGGGGATACCCACTGTCTCCCCCTGGGTGCCCAGTGAGCACAGGATTCCCCACTCCAGCACTGGTGTGCAGCCTGGGATCGTTCCCCAGGTAGAAAGGGGTGAGCTTGAGTGGGTATGGTGAGCTTAAGAGGGTATGGTGAGCTTGAATGGGTATGGTGAGCATGAGTGGGTATGGTGAGCTTAAGAGGGTATGGTGAGCTTGAGTGGGTATGGTGAGCTTGAGTGGGTATGGTGGCCAAGGAACGAGCAGCCCCAAATCATCAAGGGAAAAAGGAACTCCACACAACTGTGTAGGAGTGAGGATGGGTCTGTACACAGGAGGAAGTAAGTCTGAGAGTGAGACTAGGCGCCAGGATGCTTACACAGGGGGCGAGGGAAAAAGCCTGTACATAAATATGCAACTGGTATTAACACACAGAATTCATCACAAGGAGTTTCTGTGCTCCTGACCATGCCCAGGCACAAAACGGTTGTTGTACGGTGCACAGCTGAGCAGTTACGTCTACACTCCCCCAGGTGCGTTAAGTGACGCACAGAAGGTGGGCTTTCATGTGCGCCTTGGCTTGTCAGAGCAGGGGATGGTTATGGGTACAGACGTTAGCGTGCTGTAGCCATTCATGTATGCCTTTTGCTTGCATAGCTAGCTCTGCGCTGCGTTACTCAGCATCTGGGGTAAGCTTTTCGGCCTGTTTCAGCACAAGGGGATGGAAACGAGTCGGAAGTACCGTGGCACTAGCATGTTCATAGAACGGCTGTGATCTGGCCAGGGAAGTGCACAGCTCTGCAGACTCATCCATCCTGCTCCTTAGGCAAGTTCTACAGCTTGCAGCAAGTCCTGTGTTGCTGTGGCAACATAACTACTAATACCTGGACTAGCTGGTTTAAGGAGAGCTTGAGTATGCCTGCACACACTGTAGCCACAGCAACGTGAAGATAGATGAGGTACTCCTTTATAGCACTGTATAACACTCAGATGCCCTAGCTTTGACTCTCTCCCTAAGGACTGTAGCCAATTTCAAACAGCAGCAGGATTGGGAGACTGGAAAGACAATTTAGACATAACTCCAACACCCTAAAGGTCTAGTCCCATATGCTCGATTCCCGCAAAACCATCAGTGAATGTGACAAAACTGTTAATCCCTGGACAAAGATGAAAACCATTGACCGAAGGGAGATGTCTCTTGGCACTGGTCTTGCTGCTCTCACAGCCCACATACCTCCTGCACCAGCCAGGACAGCTATTAAGCAGTGTGGTCTGCTGCATGCATGCCTCTGGCTCCAGAGGAGTTAGCCTGTTACCTGGGCTGTGCAGCCCTGCGAAGGCTTATCTCCTTCCCACTGCTAGCAGGAGACCAGGGCACAGTGAGCCGCAGGGCTGGCTCTCTGCTATCCTGACAGATGAACTCGTGGAGACCTGTGACTGCCAGCCAGTCCTTTACCTGGCAGGGAATGGGAGAGCACTTCTTCTCTTCAGGGAGGTCAGGCTGAAACTCTCACCCGCACCTACCGCGTTACAGAGCTGAAGGGCTCCATTGCTATTCTGATGACATCACTGTCCTCTTATCCCAGTTGGGATGACGTCAGTTTGAGTCCTTGCCAGACTTCAAGGTTTGCAACTGCAAGATGTATTTCCAACAGGGTGCTTTTAGCATAATTTCAGATATAAAAATAAGAAACATGAGGCAGGGGCAGAGGTTGTGGATGAAACAAATGTACTAATAGTTTGTCTGTGCCAACTGTGGCCCTCAAGAATCCCATTTCTATTCAGTGCTTCCCCACTGAAGCATCCCAGGCATTTGAAATTACTTATTTTCAGGCTACTGGCTACTTCTGGGGTAGGACATGGTATCCATATAGTATGCGTGTCATGTTGCATAACAATGGGTTGGGTGAGAAACAGATTGTTCAGAGGGAAACTTCTGTTCACACACAAAAAAGACAAGGGCTCTTCATCTGTGGATTACACATGCAGCAGATAAACCTTAATTAAGGAAGTTTTTCAAAAATAACCTGTATACAGTGAAGCTCCTGGAAAGCAATTTATCTTCCTTGGAAAGCTAAAAGGGTGAGTCAGCCTTGCCAGGATGTATTCAAAAGTGTCTCCATGGAAAATAAGAAATCTGTCTGTCCTACCTATCTGCCGTGTGTGTATGACATCTTGGTTGTAGTACTGTGGTTTGAATAAAATTACAATTATTACTAGTGTTTGTAGAGAATATAAAGTCCCCATCCAGGAACCCGGCCTGATAAGGATAGGTTTCATGTATTAGTATTCCATCACACACCCACTTCATTTACACACTTATGCGTAAAATGAACCCGTACTGGTACTTAATATTGACATATTCATGATATTCTAAGTGTGCATGCAATGTATTGTCATTTTACACAGAGCAAACATCCTCTGTTTCATTTAGCGTGAAACAAATCATAGATCCTTCAATGGCAGAAGGACTTGAAATCACTGAGGCTAGTGGACACATATCTATATGGATGTAAGAAAGGACACACAGAGTCAAACCTGGCAATTTTTTTTCATTTGGAACATCCCCACATACCCACTGAAGCCAGTGTGCAAAGCTTTGCCTTTATGAAACACACTGTTAAGCTTTTATGTCTCTATCTACATAGCTCACAGCACCTTTCCAGTCCTAGAGGGATGATCCTCTCACCATCTCCATCTGCTTGTCTGCCACACCTCCCAGTTTCTAGGACATCCCTACCCAGGCAGACTGTTCCTGTGAGACTTTCCTTGCTGTCACATAGCTGAGAGAGTAGGAGATAAGAAATTAATGTCTAAGACACAGGTATGGCAGAGGTTAGTTCTTAGGTACCAGGAATGTGGAATTTGCATGGACCCATGACCCTAAGATTTCTAATCTCTGAATTTCCAAACCCACATCTTAAAGAAGGGTCAAAATATGGCAAAGAATGAAAAAAGTGTCACCATAATCCCCAGGCCCTTCTACATGTCCCAAATGCTGGCACATGAGGAAAGGAGAAATGGAGAAACTAGATGTTTTCCAAATGTTCCAAGTGTTTGCAGCCACACACAGGCAAAGAGCAAAAGAGGGGACCAAGTGTGTTGGTTCTTGCTTGCTGTTTGTCCGCTTGCCTCTCATGGTGTACTTCATTGACTGGCCTTGGAAGAATAATCACATAGATTTGTATTTTGCATGCTGGAATGGAGACATCAAGAAGGTACTTATTGTTCCATTAAAAGGTCTTTCAGTATTATATGGTAGTCTTTACCCCTCTCTGTAGCTCTCCCTTTCCTGGTGTTTCTCAGCCCACTAATTTATAGCATGTGTCAGCCTCCTTAATGTTCATCCTAGGAGCAGGCTGCTATACACTGGCTCATCACCCCGGTATCCCCTTTCTGTCCTCTTTAACGTGACAGCAAATCCCAGAGCCCTTTGATTCAGGTTGTCATCTCCTGGTATTCAGAAACCCATCTGCCAGGAGTCCAGATTCAGGATTTTCCAGTTTTTTCACCAGAGAAGGCATCAATACCTGCCAGAGCCTGGACATCC